CATCTACGCTGAGGCCGGGTACTGGAAAGTGTGCAAGAGAATAAGAAAACTGTTTAAGATGAAAGGGTTAAGGAAAGAGGCTGAACACGGTTATGTGGAGATAGATAAGGAGGTATACTTCTTCTACAACGGAGATAAGACGTATCCTCTTACAGAAAAGATTCATCAAGTATTGAAGGAGATGGAGAAAAGAATAAAATCGGAGCTGGGTTCTGTTCACGGGGTGAGGTTTGCGCTGCACGATGTGGAAGAGGAGTCAAAGGAAGAGAGCTTGAGATTTCACAGTGAGAAGTTGGCAATTAAACTGGTGTTGGTGCGTGGTGAGACGGAGAAGGGGACAAGACGATTAGGATTTTCAAGAACTTGAGAGTGTGTAGGGATTACCATGCATTTATCAAAGATTTGTCGAAGGTTTTGAAGGTGGTGTTTCTGGTGAAAGATGCAAATAGGTTTCACAAGTTTGAGGACGGCTTATGTTCTTGTGGAGATTATTGGTGATCTATCTCTCTCTCTAAAACTATATAAGCCGTGCATGGCAGCCAGCCAGAATCTGGTGGAGGCAGAGTTTCTTTTGAGAACATTTTCCGATGAGTTGTTTAACTCTCCATTTTGCTGAGCATCAAAACTTTCCAGTTACGCAAGTCTCATAAGCACATATATGATATATAGCAAAAAAGATATCAGTAGCACAGTTAGCTCAAGGTCAATGGCTGCTTATGACCCAACAACTACCTAGGCGCAGCTTGGCAGATGTAGATGCTAGAAGAACAAGCAGCTATCGATAGATGTCATCACAAGCTTTTAGCGAATGTTGGTAAATTTTGATAGGTGCTCGCCAGAGGCTTGATGGAATGGTGCAATGAACCTTTTTTTTTCATAGAAATCATGACCCTATTATTTGTAAAATTCTGGTTCCGCCTGTGAAAGATCTTTTCCTAATCATTCAATCCTGGCCGTTCACACCAATAGTGCGGCCAGGAGTAAATTTTTAATTCTCAACCTCATGATGAACACAGAATCATCGGCAACTGTCGTCTGAGTCACGGGCCACCGGATTTCGCATTGGGATTATATAGGCTTTTTTATTGTTCATTACTTTATCTACAAGTCACAGGCAATCTGCTTTAATATTCATTTTTTGAGGGCAGTGGATTAGTGTGAATTATTATCTTTTATTTTTTTTTATTCGGTATTATTGGTTTGATTTTCTAATCTGATTTGATGGATTGAAAATTGAAACTTGGAAGTTGATTTTCTGGGGTTTTTGGTGTGCTTAATTTGTTTGCAAAGTTTTTCAGTTGTAGGATTCTCATCAACGGCTATGATTTGTTGGACCAATCTAATGTTTATCTTTTGCCTTCTTGTCTTTTCATTCCAGAGATTACCTAGATTTTGTTGTTCTTCGGCTTGTGTTTTTTCCTCATATGAAAGAAACTTAAATACAAGGAAATGTTACTATGTGGCGGTATTTCAAGTCAATTATGCACTACCACGTAAAAAAGTTGAAACACATAACAAATTGGTTTAGAATGCAGTAACGGTGACATATACACTCTTTGTAGGAAAGTTCTTTATCCTTGGGTTGAGATCAAAAATTAAGCAAAGGTACAAAGACTAAACCTTGGCCAAATTCAATCATTTTACATGGATTTTATTTCCATATGGAAAGTTTAATCACTTTCTATAGGTTATGTGATCGATAATATTGATGCTTAAACAAAATTTAAAGTAATTATCATATATGTGGAACCATGAACGTGAAAGAGGAGAGAGAGAGAGAGAGCAAATTAAAAAAAATTAAAAAAACATTCCAATATACAAGATCAAGAACTACATACACAACGTTTCTTTGGCATTCAAAGCATCAATCCAGTAAATTCCTATTGCCATGCAAAACCCTAGAAGGATCAGCGAAACGAGCTGAGAAAGACCTCGGCAAGTTATCCGGCTCCATCCATCCCGTCCCTTGATCGAAATTCTTCGAATATGTATCCGGATCATAAGACGCCTGCGCCTGCGGCGTGACCGTACTTGAACCGAAATTTTTCTTCCTCTGAATCTTGAATCTTTTCCAGAATTTTTGCCACCCTGTATGAGACTTGTTGTAGTTGCTTGGCATGTCGTAGTTGTGTCCCAGCCTTATGCTTTGGCTGCGTGAATTTCTCCACTCTCTGATGCCCATTGCCAAGACAAAGACTGAGTTTTGTGCACCTAATTAATCTCTGTAGAATCTAGATAATCAATTAGCTTAAGCAATGTGTGTGTGTGTATATATATATACATGTAAAGATATGACATCTTTTTCTAAGTGTGACATATGTATACATATATATGTGTGTGTATATATATATATATCATCTTTTTCTAAGTGTGACATATGTATATACACACACACGGCTTTTCCTGGAATAGATGGCTCTAGGTTTTGACTTGGCTCAACTTGGATGCTCTTAAAGTTGGATTAAGGTTAAGGTGACTTCTGCCACTTAGTATTACCGTCTAGGTCTAATAGTATTCTTCTACATTATTGTTAACCTAAGTTTAGCTCACTTCTGCTTTTAATGTAGATAATATCGTTTGTTTTTTTTAAAAAAAAAGTGGCTTCTAGCACCAAAAAACAAAAAATATAAACTACCCTTTACCCATTTGACAAATATATTTAACTAGTGCAATTCCTCTATCCGTTACACGTTAATATTAGTGCAAAACAATATTTCTTATGTTAGTGACGATTTGTGAAAATCCCGTGAAATACAAGATGATACTACTTAATAAAAATAGAGGAATTCGGAAAGATATATTATTTTTTTCACTTTTATTATGACATCAAATACATAGAAAAATCTAGATTTAGTACTATGGTAAAGTCGGTTAGCATTTGAAAGTTGGAAATGGTCTTGGGCTGAAGAAGCTTGGATGAAGAAGCTATATTATGGAGAGATTTTTTAGTGTGATCGGTACACGGGGTGGTATATTACGTGTCATTAAATAAATGATGGGATATATGTGCTAAAAAGTTAATAACTTAAAAAATAAATTTCTCACAATTTCTATTAAAACACGTGGTGTACCACTTGTGTTTCCGTCACAACTAAAAATTACTCCATATTACTCCATATTATGAGACAAAGGTTACTAGTAGAGAGAGGTGTGTCAGCGAGCAGCTTTGTTTTCCTTTAAAGGGTTCAAAAGTGTGAACGCCGAAAGAGTCATCATTTTATAGCCGCTTGCCTACCTTCCTTTAATTAATTTTTTTTTTTTATGTCATGAGCTTTTTATATAATTAAAAATGCTTATGACAGCATTGCAAATATAAATAACTAAAAATGCTTTGGGATTTTGTTTAGGGGTGTGCTATCCACACACCCTTTTTTACTTCTCACACACCCTTGTTAATTTCTGTCCGCTGATCTTCTTTAATTCATCCGATCCGACGGCCGAAAACCAAAAAGGTGTGGGAGAAGTAAAAAAGGGTGTGTGGATATCACACCGTTCTTAAAGTGCGTTTTAGTACTTTTCCTATGCTTCTTGAAGAAGCACTTTCAAGTTTTTTTTTCTTGTTTTTTTTTTAAATTTGTTGACTTTGTTGATGTACAAAATTCGGTCGACCTTGAGTTAACGTAAATAGTGGTTTAGTAACCTTTTGCAAGGGTGCTTTGGTCACTAAGTTATAGTGATATCATGTAAAGAGATAAGGGTAGAGAAGTAGACATGAGATGCACGTGATTCATCCTCAGTTAGGCTACGTGGCTCCGTCTACAGTAATAAGAGTTTTCATTAATAATGTACCGTCTACATAATAGAATGGTTTAAGCATAAGTAGAGGACCAAGCCTGGACTAGTGGTCCTAAGATCCAAGAGCTTAATTGTGGGAGAGAAGTCTCCTTTCATATGTGAGTAGAGTCCCTCATTATTGTATATAGTCGATGTGGGACTCTATGAACGTTGTTATAGTGTTGCCACGTGTCTAGGAACGTTGTTGCAGCTGATAAAAGACCTAGAAATGTAATGCCATTAGGTTCAACCTTTGCTCTTTGCATCTTTTGGAACAGTTAAACCTCTCCGCGAGCTTTCCCGTAATTCACCATCCCTGCAACCATGGTACTCCAAGAAATACATACATCTCCAACATTTGATCAAATAACTGCCAGGCGTGGTCAATGCAGCCATATTTCACATAAATTTCAATCGGGGAATTGCAAACACAAGCCGACTCCAGGATGCATGCATGCCGGCAAGACGGAAAGAATACTGATCTCATCCGGCTTCAATACCCAGTATTTACATTCGCCAGAAAATATCCACAGCAGTTGCGTACCACCTGATTTTCGTATACCCTGAAACCATTGTTGTCCAAGACACAATAGTCTTGTTAGGAGTTTCTTCAAACGGAGCTCCTGCCCTTCTCACTACCCTAATCTAACACACCCAAAGAGGAGACTATTCCAAGAAATCACATCCGGTTCAGACATTCCATCAAACACCTTTATTGTAACCTGGAAATAGTTTTGCTATATATCACACATGTCCACCATTTTTGTAACCAGGAAAGTGCTCTGTGATAACGAGAGCTTCATAATATGAGCGTGGATTCTCTGTAACCCTTTTGTGTTTTTGCAGTTTAGTAACTTGGGTACGAAGGAATTTTCCAATTCTCTGACAGATAAGGCGCTGATTCTTGTTAGGGACTTTACAGAATGGGGTTGCTTGGAAGGATGAATGAGCGGCAGAGGTTAGCGAATCTCCTTCGAAACTGTTCGAGGAATTTGCTACTTCATCAGGGAATACAGGCTCATGGGATGGTGATGAGAATGGGAATTGGGTTTGATTTGATGTTAGACAACAATCTTATAAATATGTATGGAAAATGTGGTAGAATGGGGATTGCCTGTGAACTGTTTGATAGAATGAATGAGAGAAATGTGGTTTCGTGGACGGCTTTAATGTGTGGCTACTTATAGAATGGCAATGCCAGAGGGTCACTGTCTCATTTCAGCAAAATGAGGTGTTCGGGGATTAAACCAAACGAGTTCACTTTTTTGATCAATCTCAAGGTGTCTGGGTTTGTGGGAATTGCTGAGAATGGAATGCAAATTCACAATATTTGCATCAAATCTGGTTTTGAATGGGTGACAGTGGTGAGCAATTCTATCCTCGACATGTATGCGAAATGTGAAAAACTTTACGAAGCAGCACATATGTTTAATGTGATGCTAGTTAAGAATCTTATCAGTTGGAATGCGATGATAGCCGGATTCACACTTGAAGGAAATGGGGAGAGAGCTTTGGTTTTGTTTAGGAAAATGCAAGGGCTTTGGGAAGTGCCCGATGAGTATATGATTACAAGCACGCTCAAGGCTTGTAGTGGCCTTGGAGCAATTCAGCAAGGAAGCCAAATACACTTCTCCTTAATAACAAGAGGATTCCCGTGTTCAGTTTGGACTACTGTTGCCGGTGTTTTTGTTGATCTGTATGTCAAATGCGGGCACTTAACTGAAGCTCAGATAGTATTCGATCAAATACAACAACAACAACAACAACAAAGCCTTTTCCCCACTAAGCCTTTGCCACTATTTGGTCGGCTATATTGAATCCTAGAACGCCATTGCGCTCTTTTGTGTCATGTCCTCCGTTAGATCCAAGTACCTCTACCGTAACATCTTTTCTTAGAGTCTTCCAAATTTTCCCTTCCTAGGTCTTCCCTCTACCCTTCTCGGCCCTGAACCTCTGTTCCCGTAGTCACATCTTCGAACCGGATTGCGTTAGTCAGTTCAGTGGCCTATACAAATTGCACACCCAATTTCCTAAATCACCGGAGGATCTCGATTTCCTCTTGTGTTTCCTATCTTCTAGTTCGGAAGGTACTGTCTTACTTCTACAACATCGCTGATATCTCATTCTTCCCTCCTTCCAAGTTTCTGGAGCGGTGGTAATTTCGTCTTGACTATCGTAGTACAAAATGATCCATAGGGTAGTCTGTCTACATCTATCTGTGTGGTAGATTTCTTCCTCTTCCTCCATCCAGGGGTGGTATCTTTAACTGGTGGAGATGCACAAGGTAATGTATCAATTTCACTTGAAGCTTACTTGTAGTTTCAGGCTTGGTCAAGCGCGATACAAACCATGTAGTAGGAGTCCCCAAGTCGCCGAGCTAGGGGGTCTGCTGAAAGAGGTGACAGACAAGGTAAGCAATCAGAGCTCCGACTGATTGTTCACCTTCTCCCCATCTTGCAGCAGCATGAAGGATAAAGAGAAGAAAAATGAGAAGAGATGATATGAGATACTTTTGCTTTTGAAGAAGTAACTTTCCACAGGCTTATTCTTGAACTGAGCTGGAGGGTTTTCTGGTTTCCTCCAGAGTATAAGGCCGACTGAAGAATTTGAGGGTCAAAACAAGTCCATCAAATCTAGAGTACGTTCCACCCTGCTGATATGGGATACTTTTGCTTTTGACAGAGTAATGGATGTATCGGCACGTGTGCTGTTACGCTTGTCTCCACATGCTTCCTTGTATCCTTCGCACTTGCCCTATCTGTTCCTCAAGCAGATGCGGAATCTTCCCTGGAAACATAAGATGTTGAAGATGAGTACTCGAGAGCAATGCCAGGTAAGTAATCAGGTAAGGGGTTCCAGGCAGTCAGTTCCTGGCTGGAAGCTTGATTCCAAGTGCTGACTGATTGCTCTCTTTCTCCTTGTCTTGCAGGTAAAAACAAGGCCAAAGGAAAAGACAGGGAAAAAGCATGATATGGGATACTCTTGCTTTTAACCCTGATGATATGAGATATTCTTGCTCTAGTATAGCTTGTTTGCAGAGGTATTATCGGGGGGAAAGAAAGCTGAATATTTCGAAAGGCTTCGTTGGGAGTGCCCTCTCAGATATGATGAAGGGTTGAGCATTTTTGCAGGTCTGCCTGTCCGTTGGGGATGGAGGTCGACATATATAGGAGTCTCCCTAACAACAAGTAGTAATGCTATTCCTTTACCCTGCTTGGTCATAGCACGGTAGTGGGAGCTGCCAGTTTCACATGTTTTAACTCTGTCAGAGCACTTTGAAAAAGTGGTCTGTGGTATCTGGCTCTCGAGATTCGGAGAACGATGCCTCTTCGATTTTTGAGAAAGCAATCATGCTGGGGGTCTGGCTCTCGAGATTCGGAGAGCAGTGTCTCTTCGATTTTTGAGGAAGTAATCATGTTGGGAGTCTGGCTCTCGAGATTCGGAGGGCGGTGCCTCTTCGATTTTGGAGCAAGCAATCCTTGTTGGGAGTGTTGTCTCGAATGTGAGTAAAGGTTGGGCATGTTTGCTAGTCTACCTTGCCACGAAGCACAAAGGTTGACACACAGGGACTTTCCAATTATCCAGCAATGGTACTGTTCCTTTACCCTCTCTTCGATTTTGAGAAAGTAGTCATGTTGGGAGTCTGGCTCTCGAGATTCGGAGGACGGTGCCTCTTCGATTTTGGAGCAAGCAATCTTGTTGGGAGTGTTTTCTCGAATGTGAGTAAAGGTTGGGCATGTTTGCTAGTCTACCTTGCCACGAAGCACAGAGGTTGACACACAGGGACTTTCCAATTATCCAGCAGTGGTACTGTTCCTTTACCCTTGTGGGTAATAATATGGTAGCTAGACCTTCAAAATTTATGTGTCTAAACTTTGTTAGTGCTGTTTCTTTGCTATTCTTTTACCTTTCTTGGTCAGAGCGATGTAGTGGGAGCTGCAAGCTTCACGTGCTCAACTTTGGCAGAGAACTTTGGCAAAGTTATCTGTGGTACCCATGAGCTATTGTTGCGTGTGGGAAGTGGGTGATTGAACAGTAAGATTCATGTGCTTTCTACTTCACCAGAAGTCTTCGACAGAATGCCCATAATTTCTGCAAAGCTGAGTGTGCGTGTGACAGGTGCTGACAAGGCTAGAAAAGTAGGTGCCTCTTCGATTTCTGAGATCGGCCCTCGTGGTCTCTGAGCAGCCCAGCTTTTGAGAAAGCGAGCGCCTCTTCGATTGATTCGGAGAACGATGCCTCATCGATTTTTGAGAAAGCAATCATGCTGGGGGTCTGGCTCTCGAAGATTCGGGGAGCAGTGTCTCTTCGATTTTTAAGAAAGTAATCATGTTGGGAGTCTGGCTCTCGAGATTCGGAGGGCGGTGCCTTTTCGATTTTGGAGCAAGCAATCTTGTTGGGAGTGTTTTCTCGAATGTGAGTAAAGGTTGGGCATGTTTGCTAGTCTACCTTGCCACGAAGCACAGAGGTTGACACACAGGGACTTTCCAATTATCCAGCAATGGTACTGTTCCTTTACCCTCTCTTCGATTTTTAAGAAAGTAGTCATGTTGGGAGTCTGGCTCTCGAGATTCGGAGGACGGTGCCTCTTCGATTTTGGAGCAAGCAATCTTATTGGGAGTGTTTTCTCGAATGTGAGTAAAGGTTGGGCATGTTTGCTAGTCTACCTTGCCACGAAGCACAGAGGTTGACACACAGGGACTTTCCAATTATCCAGCAGTGGTACTGTTCCTTTACCCTTGTGGGTAATAATATGGTAGCTAGACCTTCAAAATTTATGGGTCTAAACTTTGTTAGTGCTGTTTCTTTGCTATTCTTTTACCCTTCTTGGTCAGAGCGATGTAGTGGGAGCTGCAAGCTTCACGTGCTCAACTTTGGCAGAGAACTTTGGCAAAGTTATCTGTGGTACCCATGAGCTATTGTTGCGTGTGGGAAGTGGGTGATTGAACAGTAAGATTCATGTGTTTTCTACTTCCCCAGAAGTCTTCGACAGAATGCCCATAATTTCCGCAAAGCTGAGTGTGCGTGTGACAGGTGCTGACAAGGCTGGAAAAGTAGGTGCCTCTTCGATTTCTGAGATCGGCCCTCGTGGTCTCTGGGGAGCCCAGCTTTTGAGAAAGCGAGCGCCTCTTCGATTTCTGAGATCGGCCTTCGTGGTCTTTGAGCAGCCCAACTTTTGAGAAAGCAAACGCCTCTTCGATTTCTGAGATCAACCCTCGTGATCTCTAAGCAGCCCAGCTTTTGAGAAAGCAAACGCCTCTTCGATTTCTGAGCAGGCGCCTCTTCGATTTCTGAAGCTCCGTCGAGTGCAGATTTTTATAGGGGCTGGCATTAAGTTCCAAAGCACACTTGAATCTCCACCAGTAGAAGCTTCATTCTTGCACTTCTAAGATCTTGATTTGTCCGACCTCTTCTCTCTTCAACACCTTTGAAAATGTCTGGCCCCTCCGACCGTCGTTTTGACTTGAACCTTGTTGAAGAGGCAGCCCCGCCTTCTCCAGACAACATATGGCGCCCATCCTTCGTCTCCCCTACTGGTCCTCTTACCGTTGGGGATTCCGTGATGAAGAATGATATGACCGCTGCGGTGGTGGCCAGGAACCTTCTCACTCCCAAAGATAACAGACTACTTTCCAAACGGTCTGATGAGTTAGCTGTTAAGGATTCGCTGGCTCTCAGTGTTCAGTGTGCAGGTTCTGTGTCTAATATGGCCCAACGCCTATTTGCTCGAACCCGCCAAGTTGAATCATTGGCGGCTGAAGTGATGAGTCTCAAACAGGAGATTAGAGGGCTCAAGCATGAGAATAAACAGTTGCACCGGCTCGCACATGACTATGCTACAAACATGAAGAGGAAGCTTGACCAGATGAAGGAAACTGATGGTCAGGTTTTACTTGATCATCAGAGATTTGTGGGTTTGTTCCAAAGGCATTTATTGCCTTCGTCTTCTGGGCTGTACTGTACCGCGTAATGAAGCTCCAAATGATCAACCTCTGATGCCTCCTCCTTCTAGGGTTCTGTCCAGTACTGAGGCTCCAAATGATCCCCCTCCGGTGCCTTCTCTTTCTGGGGCTCTACCGACTGCTGAGACTTCTCCTAAGCAACCTTTGTGAAGGCTCCCTCTTGTGTGTTTATTTTGACTCATGTATATGTACATATTTGTAGCTTATCGGGGATATCAATAAATAAGCTTTCCTTCATTTCAACGTATTGTGTTAAATACACCAAAGCCTTCTTCGCTAAGTTCTTTGAATTTTCTTTTGTTGAAGCTTGTATGTTGAAGCTTTCTGAGTGGAGCATGTAGGTTGGGGTAGTGTTCCCTTAATTTCCCGAGTGAGGAAAACTTCTCGGTTGGAGACTTGGAAAATCCAAGTCACTGAGTGGGATCGGCTATATGAATCTTAGAACGCCATTGTGCTCGATCCTGTGTCATGTCCTTCGTTAGATCCAAGTACTCTAAGTCTTTTCTTAGAGTCTCTTCCAAAGTTTTCCTAGGTCTTCCTCTACCCCTTCGGCCCTGAACCTCTGTCCCATAGTCGCATCTTCTAATCGGAGCGTCAGTAGGCCTTCTTTGCACATGTCCAAACCACCGTAACCGATTTTCTCTCATCTTTCCTTCAATTTCGGCTACTCCTACTTTACCCCGGATATCCTCATTCCTAATCTTATCCTTTCTCGTGTGCCCACACATCCAACGAAGCATCCTCATCTCCGCTACACCCATTTTGTGTACGTGTTGATGTTTCACCGCCCAACATTCTGTGCCATACAGCATCGCCGGCCTTATTGCCGTCCTATAAAATTTTCCCTTGAGCTTCAGTGGCATACGGCGGTCACACAACACGCCGGATGCACTCTTCCACTTCATCCATCCAGCTTGTATTCTATGGTTGAGATCTCCATCTAATTCTCCGTTCTTTTGCAAGATAGATCCTAGGTAACGAAAACGGTCGCTCTTTGGTATTTCTTGATCTCCGATCCTCACCCCTAACTCGTTTTGGCCTCCATTTGCACTGAACTTGCACTCCATATATTCTGTCTTTGATCGGCTTAGGCGAAGACCTTTAGATTCCAACACTTCTCTCCAAAGGTTAAGCTTTGCATTTACCCCTTCCTGAGTTTCATCTATCAACACTATATCGTCTGCGAAAAGCATACACCAAGGAATATCATCTTGAATATGTCCTGTTTTAACTCATCCATTACCAACGCAAAAAGGTAAGGACTTAAGGATGAGCCTTGATGTAATCCTACAGTTATGGGAAAGCTTTCGGTTTGTCCTTCATGAGTTCTTACGGCAGTCTTTGCTCCTTCATACATATCCTTTATAGCTTGGATATATGCTACTCGTACTCCTTTCTTCTCTCTAAAATCCTCCAAAGAATGTCTCTTGGGACCCTATCATACGCTTTTTCCAAATCTATAAAGACCATGTGTAAATCCTTTTTCCCATCTCTATATCTTTCCATCAATCTTCGTAAGAGATAGATTGCCTCCATGGTTGAGCGCCCTGGCATGAACCCGAATTGGTTGTCCGAAACCCGTGTCTCTTGCCTCAATCTATGCTCAATGACTCTCTCCCAGAGCTTCATTGTATGACTCATTAGCTTAATACCCCTATAGTTCATGCAATTTTGTACGTCGCCCTTATTCTTGTAGATAGGCACCAAAGTGCTCGTTCGCCACTCATTTGGCATCTTCTTCGTTTTCAAAATCCTATTGAAAAGGTCAGTGAGCCATGTTATACCTGTCTCTCCCAAAAGTTTCCACACTTCGATTGGTATATCGTCTGGGCCTATTGCTTTTTTATGCTTCATCTTCTTCAAAGCTACAACCACTTCTTCCTTCCGGATTCGACGATAAAAAGAGTAGTTTCTACACTCTTCTGAGTTACTCAACTCCCCTAAAGAAGCACTCATTTCATGTCCTTCATTGAAAAGATTATGAAAATAACCTCTCCATCTGTCTTTAACCGCGTTCTCTGTAGCAAGAACCTTTCCATCCTCATCCTTGATGCACCTCACTTGGTTTAGGTCCCTTGTCTTCTTTTCCCTTGCTCTAGATAGTTTATTAGATATCCAACTCTCCTTCTTTGGTATCTAGTCGTTTATACATATCGTCGTAAGCCGCTAACTTAGCTTCTCTGACAGCTTTCTTCGCCTCTTGCTTCGCTTTTCTATACCTTTCACCATTTTCATCGGTCCTCTCCTTGTATAAAGCTTTACAACATTCCTTCTTAGCTTAGCCTTCACCTTTGTTTGTGTACCTCCTCATTCCACCACCAAGATTCCTTTTGGTGTGTGGGGCAAAGCCCTTGGACTCTCCTAATACCTCTTTTGCTACTTTTCGGATACAACTAGCCATGGAATCCCACATTTGGCTAGCTTCCCCCTCTCTATCCCACACACATTGGGTGATTACCTTCTCTTTTGAAAATGGCTTGTTTTTCTTCTTTTAGATTCCACCATCTAGTCCTTGGGCACTTCCAAGTCTTGTTCTTTTGTCTTACTCTTTTGATATGTACATCCATCACCAACAAGCGATGTTGATTAGCCACGCTCTCTCCTGGTATAACTTTGCAATCCTTACAAGTTATACGATCCCCTTTCCTCATTAGAAGAAAATCTATTTGTGTTTTTGACGACCCACTCTTGTAGGTGATCACATGTTCTTCTCTCTTCTTAAAGAAGGTGTTGGCTAAGAAGAGATCATATGCCATTGCAAAATCCAAGATAGCTTCCCCATCCTCGTTTCTCTCCCCAAAACCATGGCCACCATGAAAACCTCCATAGTTGCCTGTCTCCCTGCCCACGTGTCCATTTAAATCTCCTCCTATAAATAACTTCTCCGTCTGAGCAATTCCTTGCACCAAGTCTCCAAGATCTTCCCAAAATTTCTCCTTCGAACTCGTATCCAACCCTACTTGAGGTGCGTACGCACTAATCACATTGATAAGTTCTTGTCCTATTACAATCTTGATTGCCATGATTCTATCTCCTACCCTCTTGACATCTACAACATCTTGTGTACCAAGGTCTTGTCCACGATGATGCCAACACCGTTTCTCGTTCTATTTGTGCCCGAATACCAAAGTTTAAACCCTGAGTTTTCTAGATCCTTTGCCTTACTACCAACCCACTTAGTTTCTTGTAGGCACATAATATTTATCCTTCTCCTCACCATAACTTCCACTACTTCCATAGATTTTCCCGTTAAGGTTCCTATATTCCACGTTCCTAAACGCATTTTGCTCTCTTGAACTCTACCCTTCTGTCCTAGCTTCTTCACCCTCCCCCGTCTAATAGGATCAAAGTACTTCTTTTGTGTGTGTCCGGGTAAAGTTGATAGGAGCATATGCTCCCAAACAACTTTGAGTGGAGTCGTTCGAAAAAGAAGTTTCTATGGCCCCCTTGCTCATTTAACACTGCATCCGGTGCCAATGCGATGGAGAGATACAGCGACCCTTGCTCACTTATCACTGTGCTCAGGCCACACAGCGCGCCACTTACGGGTGACGCCCTAGCTTTAGCGCGATTTTGTTCTGGATTCATTTTCATAAGGATTCGACGTGATCATGGAGTGCCGGCTGTCGACTACCTGACGCCCTCCCCCTCCTCCTTTATCCGGGCTTGGGACCGGCCATGTAAGACATAGGCGGAGTTATAGTATTCGATCAAATCAAACAGAAAAATTTAGTGTCCTGGAGTTCCCTGATTCTTGGTTATGCTCAAGAACACAATCTACTACAAGCTATGGACTTGTTTAGGCATCTTAGGGTTAGTGTCGACCATCAAGTAGACGAGTTTGTTATCAAGCTTTATAGGTGTGTTTGCTGATTTTGCTCTTATAGAACAAGGTAAGAAAATGCATGCTTTCACCATTAAAATCCCATCTGGTTTAGACATATTAGTGACTAATTCAATTCTGGATATGTATCTCAAGTGTGGATTGACAGATGAGGCAGAAAGATTGTTTTATGAAACTCCGATGAGGAATGTAATTTCTTGGACGATTATGATCACTGGCTACGGAAAACATGGTATTGGAAGGAAATCTTTTTATCTTTTCAACCAGATGCTATCAGATGACATTGAACCCGATGGAGTGACTTACTTAGCCGTGCTCTCAGCCTATAGGCATTTTGGACTAGTCGAAGAATGACAAGAATACTTCTCAAGATTGTTCTGCGACAACCAAATTAAACAGAATGTAGAGCATTATGCTTGCATGGTTGATCTCCTTGAAAGAGCCGGGCGCGTAAAAGAAGCTAAGAATCTCATAGACACCATGCCTTTAAAACCAAACGTTGGAATACAACAAACTCTGCTTAGTGCTTGTAAAGTACATGGGGACTTGGAAATAGGTAGACAAGTAGGAGAGACACTTTTGAGAATGGACGGCAATAACCCTATCAACTATGTGATGTTGTCAAACATCTACGCTAAGGCCGGGTACTGGAAAGAGTGCGAGAGAATAAGAAAACTATTTAAGATGAAAGGGTTAAAGAAATAGGTTGGACGCAGTTAGGTGGAGATCAATAAAGAGGTCTACTTCTTCTACAACGGACATGAGACACATCTGCTTACAGAAAAGATTTATCAAGTGTTGAAGGAGATTGAGAAGAGAATAAAATCTGAGCTCGGTTATGTTCACAGGGGTGAGGTTTGTGCTACACGATGTGGAAGAGGAGTTAAAGGAGGAGAGCTTGAGATTTCACATTGAGAAGTTGGCAATTGGGCTGGCTTTGGTGCATGGTGAGATGGAGAAGGGGAACAAGACTATTCGGTTTTTCAAGAACTTGAGAGTGTGTGGGGATTGCCATGCATTTATCAAAGGCTTGTCGAAAGTTTTGAAGGTGGTGTTTTTTATGAGAGATGCAAATAGGTTTCACAAGTTTGAGGACGACTCGTGTTCTTTTGGCGATTATTGGTGATCTCTCTCTCTCTCTCTCAAACTATATAAACCGTGCATGGCAGCCAGCCAGAATCCAATGGAGGCAGCATTTCTTTGAGAACATTTTCCGGTAAGTAGTTTCACGTTGCTTATGACCCCAACAACTACTATCTCCATGTATATTTGTTGCTATATTTACCTTTGATCCCAACTAAAGAAAGTGTAACGTTGAATTACAGCCTAGCGTTACTTCTTCCTTCTCCAAGTTTCTTCTTTCTTTCTCGTGTCTTCCTTCTCCTTTTTTTGTGTGCAACCCAGTTGTGCGCACCACATGATGATGTAATGCTCGCTCAGAAAGTCTTGGCAGGCAGGTCTTGACACCCTACTAGCCTTTGGCAGATGTAGATGCTAGAAGAACAAGCAACTATCATAGATGCCATCACAAGCTTTCGGCGAATGTTGGTAAATTTTGATAGGTGCCCTCTAGATGCTTGATGGAATGGTGCAATGAACTGTTTTTTATATAAAAATCATGACCCCACTATTTTAAAATTCTGGTTCCGCCACTGTAGAAAATCTTTTCCGGATCATTCAATCATGACCGTTCACACCAATCGTGCAGCCTGAATAAACTTTTAATTTTTAATTCTCAACCTCATGGTGAACACAGAATCACCGGCAACCATCGTCTGAGTCACCGGCCACCGGATTTTGCGTTGGGATTATATTGGCTTTTTTATTGTTCATTACTTTATCTACAAGTCACAAGCAATCTGCTTTAAAATTCAATTTTTGAGAGCAGTGGATTGGTGTGAATTATTATCTTGTATTTTTTTATTTGGTATTATTTGGTTTGGTTTTCTGATCTGATTTGATGGATTGAAAGTTGAAACTTGGGAGTTGATTTTCTAGGGGCTTTTTTTGGTGTGCTTAATTTGTTGGCAAAGTTTTTCAGTCGTAGGAATCTCATCAACGGCCATGATTTGTTGGACCAATCTAATGTTTATCTTTTGCCTTCTTGTCTTTTCATTCCAGAGACCACTAAGATTTTGTTGTTCTTCAGCTTGTGTTTTTACCTTCTATTTAAGAGAAACTTAAACGCACCGAATTGTCATGCGGTGATATCAATTATGTATTATTACGTAAAAAAGTTAAAATACATAACAATGTTCGATTTGTTTAGAATGCGGTAACAGTGACATATATACTATTTGTAGGAAAGTTCTTTATCCTTGGTTTGAGATAAAAAAAATTAAGCTAAGGTACAAAGACTAAACCTTGGCCAAACTCAATCATTTTACATGGATTTTCTTTCCATATGGAGAGTTTTATCATTTCCTATAGGTTATGTGGTCAATAATATTGATGCTTAAACAAAATTTAAAGTAATTAACTATCGTATATACGGAACGATGAATGTGAAAGAGGCGAGAGAGAGAGAGAGAAAGAGAGAGAGCAAATAAATTCAGAAAAAAACCATTCCAACGTACCAAGATCAAGAACTATATACACAAAGTTTCTTCAGCATTCAAAGCATCAATCAAGTAAATTCCTATTGCCATGCAAAACCCTAGAAGGATCAGCAAAACGAGCTGAGAAAGACCGCGGCAAGTTATCCGGCTCCATCCATCCCGTCCCTTGATCGAAATTCTTCGAATATGTTTCCGGATCATAAGACGTCTGCGCCTGCGGCGTGACCGTACTTGAACCGAAATTTTTCTTCCTCTCGATCTTGAATCTTTTCCAGAATTTTTGCCACCCTGGTTGAGACTTGTTGTAGTTGCTTGGCATGTCGTAGTTGTGTCCCAGCCTTATGCTTTGGCTGCGTGAATTTCTCCACTCTCTGATGCCCATTGCCAAGACAAAGACCGAGTTTTGTGCACCTAATTAATCTCTGTAGAATCTAGATAATCAATTAGCTTAAGCAATGTGTGTATATATATATATATATATATAGACATGTAAAGATATGACATTTTTTCTAAGTGTGACATTATATATATACATATTATATAATGTATATATATTTTAAATGTAAGGGCTCTTCTTGGAAATAGATGGCTCTAGCTTTTGACTTGGCTCAACTCGGCTGCTCGTTAAGGTGGCTTCTAGCACCAAGAAACAAAAAATGTAAATTAAAGTCGTATTCCTAATAATAATTTACCCATTTGAAAGATATATTTAACTAGTGCAGTTCCTCTAATCGTTACACGATAATGTTAGTGAAAAACATTTCAAAATCAAACTGTGGAAACAAAAACTCATTACATGTTAACTGTTAATATTGGGTGGAATTCATGTGTTATTGACAATTTGTCAATAGCCCGTAGAACATAAGGTAGTACACTAATATAAATTATAAATGAAGAGATACTGAAAAATATATTGTTTTATTTATTTATATTATGACACGTAATGCACCGAACTTGTATTATGAATACAAACAAAAATGTAAACTTGAAACTTTGGTAAAGTTGGTAAGATTTGAAAGTTGGAAATGGTCATGAGCTGAAAAAGCTTGGATGAAGAGGCCATACGATAACAAAGGTTACTAGAAGAGAGAGAGGTGTGTCAGCAAGCAGCTTTGTTTAAAGGTTTCAAAAGTGTGACCGCCGAAAGAGTCATCATTTTATAGCCGCATGCCTACCCTCCTTTGAAAAGTAATTAAAAAAAGATTATTTGTTAATTATTCCGATTAGATTGTGTTGAAATTTCCAAGGCTTAACTAACCCGGATTAGACTATCAACATATGGAAGTTGTGAAGTGTTTGAAAGAAAATCATATAGCACCTTTGAAATTTTTTCATGAGCTTTTACATAAATTAAAAATTCTTATGACAGCATTGCATAATTAACTAAAAATGCTTCTGGCGCTTTTTTTTGTTTTTATCAACAATTTTATGGATTCTTAAAGCGCATTTTATTGCTTTTTAAATACTTCTTGAAGAAGCACTTGGTACTTTTCTAAAATTTATTGTATTTCTTGATGTACAAAATCGGGTGGACATTGAGTCAATGCGAAAGATGGTGGAGAAATGAAAAACTCATTTGTTTGAGGTTGGCTCGTGTGCTTCGGCAGAGATCTTAGAAAGGTTACTTAAGCTTCCTAGTTGACAAGTACTTGTGATTTCGAGGTCAATATAATATGGTCGAAACGGACTCCAAATTGTTGGAAAAGGAAAGACTTACCTAATTACAAACAACTCTGCTCTCCATGAAGCTCCAAGAAAGAGTTGAATTGCAATGGCAACTGTACGGTTAGAAAGAAAATGTTAGGGTAATCACATTTTGTAAACCAGATATAAATTATCTCTATAATAAAGGTGAGATCTATTTATATTTTTTATTAAAAGAATAATTTAATTAGATGTAATCTCTTATGGCATCACCCGTGATAAAAGCAATGTTCATAGTTCGTGATCGAATGGGACTGCCAAATATGCATTTGCTTAAAAGGTAGTGTAACAAAACAAAAACATAAATACAAGAATATCATAGGTTGAGATTAAACTAAGGAAAACTAATGAAAAAAGCTTGAAAACTTCAAGTTTTAACGATAAGGACAAAATAAAGAGTATGGTGAATAGTACCAGGATTGACTTTTTAATGTAAAAATATGGTTTTTCACTAAAGTGAACAGTACCGGAAGATTTTCGTTATAGTTCCTATTAAACTAATCACGAACAAAGAATAATATGTTTTCTTCATTTTCTCGTCTTTGTAAGGATCTAAAGGATCTTTTAATCATGTTCGTTTATCATATATCATGCGATCAGTTTCCATCAAGTACAATTTATGTTCGATTTTAAATAAAATAATTTAAAATAATTTCTAATCATACAATGTACAATAAATGCACGCTATTAAAAGATTCTTCAAAATCCTCATTCAAAAGTATCACATGACTTCTCGTATTAATTAATTACACCACGGCACCTCAGATCCTCAGTCAGTCAGAGAATTTAGCATGTTTGATTGTTTTGTCATATATTCTCATAACCTTTATCTCTCTATTGTGCCACGCACGTTACCTGACCTGACAATGTCAGTCAGTCATCCACTAACATTGTTTTTGATAGATTCCATGTTTTACCAAGCAACGAGTGTGTGGGGCTGCCGCCCTAGCGCGCCATCTCTTACAAAAGAGAGATTTTATCGTGTCACCGATTTATTATAGAGAACTTTAACGAAAAGTATTCGGTACTGTTTATTTTAACGAAAAATCATATTTTTACACTAAAAGTCAATCTTGGTACTATTCATTTTACCCTTTATTTTGTCATTATCATTAAAACTCAAAGTTTTCAAACCATTTTCATTAGTTTTCCTTTTATTATATGATGACCATTCACTTGAATCATAATGTATTTTTAAAACAGATGACAAGTATTAATTGAATGATGATGACGTTAGTAGGATTAAAACTTTTGAAAATGAGTTTTAATCCCGATAGCATTACCGTCCAATAATCGTCGTGCCATGGTGGCAAAGGAGAATCTCAACTGCATGTGAGAACCATCTGCAATTTCTAGCTCACTCTCATATTAACCAAGACAAGAAGAAAGAACAAAAAAAAGGCAGTAATTAAAAATATGAAGCTGATATCGACACTCTAAAAATATTAATATTTTTTTTTTTTTATAAAAAAAAGGCAAGAGAGTAATTCGATTATTTTGAACTGCTAATACCAATTCCACAAGCAAAAAAAATGCATAAGTTAAATGAAATTTCCCGTAGAATCACAACTTCATTGTCTCCTATGCATGATTGCATGTTTCAGAGCAATTTTTTTCAGAGGAATAAAGATCACCAACCAACTGAAACAATTTTTCCACATACAAAAACGTGCACAATCCTCCTACTTCCTAGCAAAACAGATCATACGCATTAGGACATCACCATCTTCATACTTGTGTCTCTCTAATGGACCTCAGTTTTCCATAAGCCTCGGAACATGCACGAGCGTAGTCTGTCATGGCGCGGAAGATCTCAGGCAGGCGAGTTTTGAGACTCCCGAGTGACTTCTCCCTCACCTGTATA